GGATTGTTACTAAGTAAGGTGAATGATTCGGGCAGATCCACTATTCCAGTTCGCAAGCAGTTACTATCCACATTATGGCTTCTTGCTACTCCTGATTCTTATAGGTAAGACACTTTATAAATATTGGGAGATATTTTATTTTATTATTCTATTTTTGTTATCAATAGTGTTGTGATGTATATTACACAGATCTGTAGGTGAGCGATTCGATATAGGAAAATCATCTGCAAATGATTCCTTTATGAGAGTTGTTGAAGCCCTAAATGACATTGCTGAAGACGTCATTGTCTAGCCCCGAGAAGACCGATGTATTGCTGTTAGTGAGAAGTTTCAGCGCATTGGGAGGCTACCATATGTAATAGGAGCTATAGATGAAACAAATATACCAATTAAAGCTCCAAAGGTATTTATACCATAGAAATGATAGCAGTATTCTATATTTTTTTAATAATATTTCCAACTAATATAGTACTTGATTTGTAGGTGGACGCACGTTTTTATATAAGTAAAGACAAGGAATACGCAATAACATTGCAAGCAGTGTGTGATGCAGAACTTCGATTCTTATATTGTTTTGCTGGATTTGCTGGATCAGTGGGAGATCGACGTGTCCTTCGAAATTCAGATCTGTGGAAGGAAATAAATGCAAATAGAGCATCTTACTTTGTGGATCAAGATTATATAATTGGAGACAAAGCTTATCCTTGTCTTTCATGGTTGATACCACCATTCGTTAATTTAGGCCAACTCACAGAAATAAGAAATTCAAAATAGAGATGGACTGTATGTATTCACAGTAGCTGGAAAATTCTTCTTTTATCATATTCATATGTTTTACAGGCTCAAAAAAAATTTAACACAGCACTTGCTAGCATGAGACAAGTTATTGAAAGGCATTTGCATTGTTGAAAGGCAGATGGAGACGACTAAAATTTCTGGTCATGAATCGCGATGATATGATTCCTTCTGTCATCCTAGCAAGCTGTGTATTGCACAATATTTGTCTCGATAATGGATTGGAAAATTATGAAGACTTCATTATTGAAGGAGATGATGCCAATGACAATGATGATGATCATTTTATTAGGCAGCCAGTAAACTTCCAAGACGATCCTGAGGGGTTACTAAAATGACAATATCTTACCACTTTGATTCATTGATACTTATATAAGACTGTTATTTATATATGACTAATTCTGGCATTCCATAGCCTATAGAGAGCTAAATTTATATATTGAAAGCTTTATATTTTATGTTCAGAGCTTCATTATATCAAATTTATTGTAGAACAGAATAATTTTTGTGATATAAAAATACTAGATATTATGAAAATAGCAATAATTATAACAATTTGAAAATAAACATTTATTTTATTATAAAACCTGAAATTTCTGTGTCCTCGCCACAATCATCTTGTTGTATAACGTTAGAAGTGAGAGAAGCTATATTTATAATTCTTGCAATATACATTGAAATCAAAAGATATATTCATTCTTTAATGAAGGGATTGGCCTTAGTTTCATGGAAGAAAATGGAATGAAATGGAATAATACTATAGTTGAAGTGGTTTTATATTATTTTTTCATATAAAATGCTATTGGTGATACATGTATATCTGTAATATTATTACAGTTATTACATAAGAGTACATTGCATAGGAACAACAATGTAATCTAATAGCACAGTCTCACTCTATCACGAATTACAATAAAATATTAAAGATGAAAACATGTTCCATGAATAATAAAAATAAAAATAATGTATTATAGACTTTTATGCGTAACAGAATATTAAAAATAGAAAAATAAAATCTTCAGTCTATAATCAAAACAAAACTATTTACCTTTAATCTTCGGTCTATAATAAAAACAACACAGTTTACTTTTAAGAACTAATAAATTTTACACATAGAATTTGCACAATAAAAATACATGGTATTGTGAAATCAAAACACATAACATAAAAGTATAATATCAAGACATTATATAATATTTATACATTTTTAATCTTTAAATACTCAGTTACTTAAGATATTGCAGAATATACTGCCTTTGTGCCACGCTTTTAAGTTTTAAACAAATTCTGCTATTAATTGACAGTATTGAAAACCTATAGTTTATATCACGTATACCATAAATTTGTAGTACTGAATAACAGAACGCTATCAAAATATTGACGTTGCAGTATAGTGTGTAAGGTAAAAATACCAATATTCAGACACGTACTTAAATCTGGACATTCTTATTATTTTGGCCTTAAAACAAATATTTAAACTTTCAACATAGAATACATATAAATATGAATGTATGTATATAATTTCATATAAAAAAAAAAGTTTAAATATTCGTATTTAAAGACCAAAATAATAAGAATAGCTAGATTTAGCTAAGTGCCCAAATAATAGTAGTTTTACCTTATACACTACCTTAATAGCACAGATGTCCAGGAGATGTCCAGAGTATGTTCTGAGGACATTCTTGGAACATTTCTACGTCCTCAGGACATCTCTGGAACGTCCCCAGGAGATCTTGTGCTATCTGGGTAAACTGCAAGATCAATATTTAGGTTGCGTGTTATTCAATGCCCTGAAAATATATAGTATAAAAAAAAAATGTAAAAACAAAAAAATAAAATGTAAAAAAAATGTATAAAATGTATAAACACTATATATAGTACAACTATGCTTATAATTAAAGTTTGTCAAGAAGTTTGGTCATAAAATATTCATAAGTTTCTCGGGCTTTGTCTTGACATGTTAATAACTCCTAATGTCTTCGTTCTTTGGCTTCATCACGTTTCCTGTTTTCCTCACTCATGATTTGTGTCCATAATTCCAATTCACGTTCCATACGCGTCTTTAATTTTTTAGATTTTTTTGATATACCTTTAATATCTTCTACATCATCAATGTCGCTGCTTGTGTTATCAGTTAGAAGATGCACTGATTGAAGATGCTGATGGGTGAGATCTTTTCTTCAGACTTGAAGCTAGAGCAACAGGTTTTACACAAGGTTTTTCTCCAAC